CACACACACACAAAGTGGACGGAGAAGGGCAGCTTGGACATTGGATACGCAAATGGGGATGGGGGGGGACTACAAAGACAAGAAGTGACTGGCTTACAAGCTTTCAAGAGGGAACCTAGTGCTAGGGAGCAGAAGGCAGAATCTCCAGAAGGTACTATTCAATCTGTCTGGGCGGAGCTGATGAAAGGAGATACAGATGGGTAACTCGTGATACTGTAGTGAATAATGCTTATCAGGATGGATTATGAGGGTTGGAAATGCAAATGTAGAAGTTTTGTAACAAGGAAGGGAGTGATTGATTTTCCAGGATAGGAACGGAGGCCTCTGGGACCATCAATGGAGAAGAGCCAAGAGCGGGACCCTACCCAGAGAAACAGAGATGCCTGAGATGGAGACAGGGATGATGACGTGGAGTGATGAAATGACTGGGGACTTTGGACCCAGAGAGGGAAAGGGATTGTGGGCTGAAAACTGGGGGGAGGAGGGGGAAGTGTAGGGAGTGGATTTCTGGGATATACCCTTTGGGTGGTTGAGGATGCATGGAGGGAATTGGAACCATGGCAGTGAGATGATATATGATGGGATGAATGTAAAACTAAAGTTTTTCCATGTAAACTATCATATAATTCACAATAAAGCATTAAAAAAAAAAAAAGACAATGGAAGAAATATGCAGTCATTGCACCAAAAAAAATAATGGTCACTGTTCGACCACTTTAAGAGGTAGCATATGATCAAGTGCCAATGTTAAAGGGTTAAAGGGACACAACTCAAAATGAGAAGAAACAGCTGAAAATATCCATTAGTAATCTGAACATGGCATCTACAAAGTATGAATCTAGGAAAGTTGAAAATTGTCAAAAATGAAATGGAATGCATAAAGATAAATAGCCTAGGAATTAGTGAGCTTAAATGAACTGGTATTGGTCTTTTTCAATCTGACAATCAAATAATTTGTTTTGCTGGGAATGACAGATTGAAGAGGAATGGTATTGCGTTCATCATCAAAAACAGCATTTCAAGATCTATCTTGAAGTATAATGTTGTCTGTGACACAAGCTGTCATGTGTTCGATAGTCTAATGTACATGTGAAAGTTGGAAAATGAATGAGGAATACTGTAGAAGAACTGATATATTTACATCATAGAGTTGGAGAATACTAAACGTTTCATAGACTGCCAGAAGAACAAACAAATCTGTGTTGCAAGAAGCATAGCCAGAATGCTCTGTAAACATCAGGATGCCAAGATTTCCTCTTTCATACTTTGGACATATTATCAGGAGAGATATCAAGTTTGGTAGTGTGGAGAGTCAGCAAAGGAGAGGAAGATCCCAAAGAGATGGACTGGCATACTGGCAGCAATGAACTCAAGTGTAACAATAACTGTGTGGATGGCGCAGGACCTGGAAATGTTCCGTTCTGTTGTGTATAGTGTTGCTATGAGTCAGAACTGACTTGAAGGCACATAACAAAAACAATATATGTTTAAAGTCTAATTTATTTTGTTTCTCTGGTAAACCCTGACTAATACCTTTCTTTTATTTTCTCTAGGAATATAAAACTGAAACTCCAACTTTTTTGGAAAATGTTGAATTGAGGAGTAGACTCACTGTCTTTTGCTGGTTTTCTAGAGAAATAGAACCAGTGAAACTTATAAATATATATGTATATATATATATTTCCACCACTTGTCTGTCAGTTTGTCATATTGTGGTGGCTTGTGAATTGCTGTGATTCTGGAAGCTATGCCACCAGTATTTTAAATACCAGCAGGGTCACCCATGGTGGACAGGTTTCAGATGAGCTCCCAGACAAAGACAGGCTAGGAAAAGGAGTGAACAACTACTTTCAAATATTTAGTCACTGAAAACCTTACGAATAGCAGAAACCTTATGAAACACTGTCAGAGATGTTGTTGTTGTTGTTAAGTGCCGTCGAGTCGGTTTCGACCCATAGCGACCCTGAATAGGGTTTCCGAGGCTGTAAATCTTTATGGGATCTGCTCGCCTCATCTTTTTCCCGCGGAGCAGCTGGTAGTTTCGAACTGCTGACCTTCCGGTTCGCAGCCCGATTCGTAACCACTACGCTACCAGAACTCCTACTGTCAGAGATAGTGCTGGAAAATGAGCCCCTCAGGTTGGAGGGCACTCAAAATTTGACTGTGGAAGAGCTGCTTCCTCAAAGTAGAGTTGACCGTGATGACGTGAATGGAGTAAAGCCCTTCATTTGCTGATGGGGCACAACTCAAAATGAAGAGCAACAGCTGTAAACATCCTTTAATAATACCAGTCGCTGGAGCAGGATAACATGTTTGGTAAAGTGGAGGGTCAGAGAAAAAGGAAAAGACCCCCAGAGAGATGGATTGGCATCAATGGGCTCAAGCATGGCAACAATAGTGAAGTTGGCCCAGGACCAAGCAGTGTTTCATTCTGTTTTGCATAGGCTCTCTATGAGTCAGTACAGACTCAATGGCACCTAACAACACCAACATATACATATTTATAAATTTATTATAAATAAATATATATATAAACAACACACACATTTGTCTATATGTGTGAGTGTATGTGTGTTGTTGTTGTTAAGTGCCATTGAGTTATTTTCAACCCATAGCGATCCTGTATAGGGTTTCTGAGGAGTGGCTTGAACCACTGACCTTGTGTTTCATACTGATTTTGCAGTCCAGCACATTAAACCACAGTGCCACACCAGCGATATATATATAAGTCTATATCAAGGAAATGGCTCACCATTGTAGAGTCCCAAGTACCCAATTGAAAAAAAAAAAGAGCAAACTTTTCCTGAATGTCCACTATATGGAGACATGCCACAACCCCAAGGAAACATCCTTTCAACTGATTGGATGCTCATAGCCAATCATCATAGAGTTAACTCTGCCGATATTAGATTTTGCAATGGAGGTAAGCACATTTAATCTGCCAAATCACTGGAAATCCTGGCCCAGTCAAGTTGGCACAACACCCTAACTGTCACACTCACCAAAAAATAAGAAAAGTTATCCCTTCCAATTAATTCCTTTAGACAGATAATTTTTAAAAGGACATTACTGCAGAATAGAGACTTTCATAGGCTGCTATTTGAATCTGGAATATGGAATAGGAGGTCTTTTAACACTATTCAAAATAATTAGTCTTGTAGATAGATTTCTCAGAGAAGCAGGCCAAGATCTTAGAGTTGCTGAGGGAAAGCTAACAAAGGCAAAGGACACCAGGATTCTCCAAAATTTCTTACATCACAAGGAATGGATTATGTATACATGCAATACAATAGGTAAATTCTACAACATTGTCTGAGCCAGAGAAATCAGATATAAAATTTTACTGTATTTATTTCTGAAAAAATCCAGAAAGTTTTCTATAGTTACATAGAGGATATTAGTGAATGTCTGGATCTAATGGTGGAGAGGAAATAACTGAACCAATGGAACTATTAAAGATGATAAAATGTTCTCTTGTCTTTACTGTTTCATAAGTTTATGCAGGCGTCCTAATGTCTTCATTTAAAATAATTATATGCAACACATGCAGTAATAATAAAATTTTATTATATATAATAATAAAGTATCTGACACCAGCAGAGTTTATTTTTTAATTTGTAAATTACTTAAAACATACGAGAAGCTCCTAAAACCCATTAAATTTAAATGTATTATTTCTTAATTGTGTTACTATTACTTAGTGTAGTGGTTACGAGTTGGGCTACTAACCTCAAGGACAGCAATTCGAAACTACCAGCAGTTCCATGGTAGAAAGATGAGGCTTTCTGCTCCCGTAAAGATTTACAGCCTGTAAATACAGGGTTGCTATGAGTTGGAACCGACGCAATGGTGTTTTACAACAACAAGAGTTTATATAAAACAATTTAAACAATTAGAATCAAAGCCTGAGGTTCAACTATTTCTACCCAACATAACAACTATTAATATTTGTAAAGACTTTACAATTTATTAATTATAACTTTAAGTGAAACTTTTTCAATAGACTCTTCATTTCCTTGCAATTTTTATCCCTCTGGTTATAGCATACTTAAAGTTTTTATTTTCTTAGTTAGCTTTCAGAGTTAGCATAGATGACAGTTCCTTTCAGAGAGCTATGCTGATGTTTAAAATTAAACAGATTTTCTGCCTCTTTTCTATCACAACACTAATTACATTATATAATAATTGCCAGGTTTGGGGTTTGTTTCAAACTAAACTTTTAGCAATGAAAACTACTTAAGGGTAGGCTCAATGCATATGCAGAGATATAGATGTAAATATTGTGAGACAAAGCACTGGACTGCAAGGTTTGTTTGCACCATAAAGTCGGCAGTTCAAACTCACCAGCTACTCCTTGGAAAGCCTATCTATACTGGGTCTTTATGAGTTGGAATTGACTTGATGGCATTTAACAACAACAACAAGGTTTTGGCTTTGGTTCAGGCTAAATTTTTAACAATGAAAACTACTTAAAAGTAGCTTAAATGCATATGTAGAAATACAGATATAAAATTAACTGTGTTTTAAAAAAGTCCAATTTTACAAAGCACTTTGTGAATAAAATTATAATTTATGATACAATATTTTCTAGACAAAAATGAAATTTAATATTCTAATAAAATCTAATATTTAGGAGGTCAGTTTACTATTAGACACTGGGAAAATTTACTTAGAAGAATAACATAGAAGGGCGAAGAGGCAGAGATAGAAAACATAATACGATAATATTTTTAAGATCTGAACCAATGTAAATGAAAATTGTATTCAGTTTTTTCATTCAGTAGCATGTTACTTAGGAGCTCTGGTAACGAAGTGGTTATGAATCGGGCTGCAAACTGCAAGGTCAGCTGTTCAAAACTACCAGCTGTTCTGAGAGAGAAAGACAAGGCTTTCTGCTCCCATAAAGATTTACAGCCTCGGAAACCCTTGTACAGGGTCACTATGAGTCGGAACTGACTCCACGGCAAACAACCACCAACCAACCAAGCATGTTATTTATGTCAATACTTTGTCACATTTCGAAAATAACAAACTCTTTGAAGCAAATCCTTGAGGGCTTCTTTCACCTGTTGGTTCCTTAGGGTGTAAATGAAAGGGTTTAGTAAGGGGGCAACAGAAGTATTGAGCACAGCTACCCCTTTAGTTAAAGTCACCCTTTCTTTTGCTGAGGGTTTCATGTACATAAACATACAACTCCCATATGTAATGGAGACAACAACCATGTGTGAGGAACAGGTGGAAAAGGCTTTTGTTCGTTGTTGAGCAGAAGGGAATTTTAGAATAGTTTTAATTATGTATGTGTATGAGAGGATCACTAACAACAATGTGACCACAAGTGTTACCACAGCTAAAATAAAGGCCATCAATTCTATTACTCGAGTATCTGTGCAAGAGATCTGCAGGATAGGAGAACTGTCACATAGGAAGTGATCAATAGTTTTGGAAGCACAGAAATCCAGCTTGAGTCCCATGACCAAAGGGGGAAAGATGACTAGGAATCCAGTTATCCAAGAGCCGAGTACAAGTTGGTAGCATAATCGGCTGCTCATAATAATGGGGTAATGCAGAGGTTTGCAGATGGCAACATAGCGGTCATAAGACATGGCCGCTAGAAGGTAAAATTCTGTAACGCCTACTAAAAGGAAAAAGAACAATTGAGCAGCACAACCATTATAGGAAATTGTTTTGTCCCCAGTTAAAATGGTGGTCAAGAACCGTGGGATGCAGGCTGTCGTAAATGAAATTTCTAATAAGGAAAAATTTCGGAGAAAGAAATACATTGGAGTCTTAAGGCGAGGATCCAGTAGAGTGAGGATGATGATGATGAAGTTCCCCATTAGGCTCAAAATGTAGTTGAGAAAGAGAAACAGGAAAATCACAGCTTCTAGCTGAGGATCATCAGTCAGTCCAAGAAGAATGAACTCTATTTCTACTGACTGGTTCTTCATTTTTCTTTTGTCCTACAAAATCTAGAGAAAATCAAAAGTAAGAAAAGATATTAATTCCAATTCATAGAAAGAACCACCTTAGAAATTTACCCATATGCAAATATTTTGGCAAATAAGCTAATCGTTGTTGTTGTTAAGTGCTGTCAAGTAGGTTCCAGCTCATAGTGACACTGTATAGCGTTTCCAAGGAGCAGCTGGTAGGTTAGAACCGCTGACATGTGATTCAAACCAACCTTGCAGTCCAGTGCTTTATTCCACAGTGCCACACCAGGATTCCAATCAGTTAATTAGATTTCATCAAAAGGAACATGTCCTGAAATTCATCAGTCATTTTTGTAAGAATGCCAAAAGATCTTTCTCTTGTCCAGACTTGGTAAGTCCTGCTTACCATTAACAGAGGTCTTGTCAGTCTTTGAAAGAGTCCTGGTGGCTAAAAGTGGTTAAAACACGGGTTTGCTAACAAGATCTGCAGTTGGAACCCACCACCTGCTCTGTAAGCATTTACAGCCTTGGAAACCCTACGTGGAAGTTCTACTCTATCCTATAGGGTCACTGTGAGTGGGAGTCAGCTTGATGGCAGTTGGTTTGGATTTTAGTATCAGTCATTTAATTTTTTTTCTGTTTAATTCAGCAAATATTTCTTTTCCTTATTTCTGAATCTAGCTAATTTCTCAATTAATTTGTTAATCCCATTTATTTCTCATCAAGTTTTCATTTGTATTTTCTTTTCTTGCTTATACCAAAATATCACTTTCCTTAAAATTTTCTAATGAAACCTATTTGCCTATTCATATACTTTATCAGTGATTTTTAGATTCCACTTCCTAGTAAGTCATTCATAATGCCTCAGATCTGTATGACTTATGGGACAAAACAAAGCAATAGAAAAATTTAAAAAGATATTCCTATATTTTATCTTTTTATTTTGCTGTATTTATAATGGTTTCCTATTTCTTTCTTTATTGTTATGCAAGATGCATTAAGAAGTCTTATGCACTAATGTCTTATATTTGCAAACTTATTTAAGCACTAGTAGCACTTGTCACTGAGTATTGTTGCACCAATACACCATAGTTACTAATTACAATTTATTTTTGTTAAGTATTTGTTTGCACTTTAGCAAACTTTAATTTAATGACTTTTTTGACTTAGTGAATTTTCAGAAATCAGGAAATAGTGAAGGCTTTCTCTTACATTAAAAAAAATAATAAATTCTATAATAGAAAGAGTCCTGGTACGGCGCTGTGGGTTAATGCGCTGGATTGCAAAGTCGGTTTGAATTGCAAGGTCTGTGGTTCAAGCTCACCAGCAGCTCCTCGGAAACCTTATACAGATTTGCTATGGGTGGGAACCAATTCCACGCATTTAACAACAACATAATAGAAAAAAAATAAATGCCACGTAAATGATATTTCACTCTCTTAACTAAATTGTTAAAATAAATTCCTTTGTTCTCCTGGATAACATGATTTATTATTTTATCCACCCGTATTCTTTTTAAAGGAGTCTTGGTGTGGCGCTGTGGGTTAATGCACCAAACTGCAAAGCCTTTTGAACTGCAAGGTCGGTGGTTCAAGCTCACCAGCTGCTCCTTGAAAACCCTATACAGGGTAGCTATGGGTCAGAATCGACTTGATGGCACTTAACAACAACAACAATTCTTTTTAAAGCTACTGAATTCCCAGATTCTTTGAATGAATCATATGTGATTGTTTTCCACCAGTCATGTCTTCCAAGATCACATGTCAATCCTTACATTCAAACATAAAAGTATGGCTATTTCATTGCTTTTTGAGATTTTTCATTAGCAAATCTTATATTACAATAAAAGCATGGTGGTGCTGGTGGTGTGCTGGGGAGTTGGTTCCAACTCATAGTGACCTTGCACGGAGTTTCTGAGTCTGTGAATCTTTACCAGAGCAGAAAGCCTCATCTTTCTCCCACAAAACAGCTGGTAGTTTCGAACTGCTGACCTTGAGATTAACAGTCCAACTCATAACCACTATGATACCAGAGCTCACTAATAAAAGCATAAATCTACTTTATTCTATCCATTATGTGTGGAATGTATATGATGTGGTAGACTAAATACGAGGGGACTACAAAGAAATGCGCTGGACTGTAAGGTCACTTTGAACCATGAGTTCTGCAGTTCAAGGTCACCAGCCACTCTTTGGAAACACTATACTCAGTTGCTATGAGGCAGAATCGACTCAAGACACTTAACAGCAACAACAACAAAGAGTTCATGAAAAGAGTCCATTAACCTTTAATATAATTACTGCACAAACTTTTTGAAGTCCTCTTGTATAACTAGTAAAGATATTGCTTCTTTATCATATCATTGTTTCCTGTGAATCATAATCTTCCAAATTTTGCTAAGCAAGTAATTTTATTTTGCCTCAGCTGAGTATAAATGTGTTTACTGATGTCAGAATATACAATTAGATATGAATACTCAGTATTTTTGCACAGGGGAAGCCATTGATTGCTGTAGTTTTATAATTTATTAGGTACTTAAAAATTTTTATTTTAAACATGTATATGTGTCCTTATCATCTTTAAAATACTAAATATTAATTAACTTCTGGCTTTAAAGATAGCTTTTAGAAATCAGCCAATAATCTTCTGCTTGCATATACCTAATTTAAGTTTTGAGATCAAATTTCTTTAAAATAAAAATAAAATCATTCTCATTACTTAATCAATGTAATTCCTAATTCATAGAGATAAGTAATATCACAGACTTATTTGCATTACTTTTAAATATACTTACTGTAGTTCTTACATACTTGGTATAAAATCCCATAGAAATTTTTACTTCTCCATCAAAAGATTTAAGAGGACAAATTGAATTATCTAACTTGAACTTTCAAAATTTCTTTTTAACTTATGATTACCAAAAAAGATAAGTTAAAATAGCAAGTTGATTTACCTTACACAGGGTGTATTGAGATTTATGCTTCGGATATGGTACATGGTAGCATTAATAATCAAGTTAAATAAAATGCTAAAAACATGCATTCAATTAATAAATGGAAGTTAAAGGCCAATGGTTGCATTAGAAAAATACACAGAAAAAAATGAAATGTGAAGATTCATTATCCAAAAGATTTTCCACTTTCACATGAGTTCACATACATCACACATCTCAGGGTTCAAATATCAAAGCATGCTGTAATTATTTCCAGAATTTTTGAATGTTTTCCTTCATACTTAATAATAAATGTTATATCAAAGATCAAAATCTATTTTTTAAAAAAACTAACTTTAAGTACAGAAATTTAAAATATGCCAGGATTACAGCTGGTTTACAGTTTTATCATTTTGCTGTATAAAGACTCAAGGGAATTTACTGAAATTACCAAACAAATGAAGATTGAAAAAAATACTTCCCAAGGGATTGGTATTCAGATATTACTAATTGTGTAACAAAAATAAAATAATAAAAATTTAATTATTTTTAATAAATTATTTTTAAAACAAGACCAAATGACATTGTTTATTATTATTTTTTTTAATCTATGAAACAATAAAAAAGGGCATCAATTGTTTCATAGCCCTGAGACATTTTGAGAAAAATCTGCTAGGCAAGATTTCTATAATAAAAGCATTCTTCTTAGTTGTACTAAAATAATAATTTAGGAGGCTTGTAGCAAGCTTGACTATTGCAAATAGATGCTCTGAAAATGATAGTTTGATGTAATTTATGGTAACGTAGTGTATTGCTGTGGCATATCTGAATATCCAAGCATAATAGTTTTGATTATAAGGTTTTTCTTTTTGGAATATGGAAAATTTCTGGTTTGTAACATGTGGATTTATGCAGAATGATTTAAATATCTGAAATATGTGAAAGGAATTTTATAAAAGAATATAGTTGAACAGAATAAAGCAGATTGTTTGTATACATTATCCTGGAGGTCAAGTACTGAAAGATTATTAAACTAACTTACTCAAATGGGCCCTCAAAAGGACTATTGTGTCAAAACAAAGTCATCAAAATCAAATCCATAAAGACTTACTGGTGTCTGAATATGAAGCAAATATAATTCCTGTCATCCATTCTTAAGGAAGTTTCAGGTCTACTATAGGAATTCAAAAACTAAAAGGCATTCTCAACATACTGCTCTTATACAAGTTAATCAGACAGAACAATTTCTGGAAAAAACTTTTGTTTTTTTATTAATTTGCCTTTGAACCTTCATCCCAAAATCAGTTATGTACATAGAGGGGGCTTCAGAAAGTTCATAGAAAGATTCCATTATCTTTCATTTTGTCCATGAATTTTTCAAGCTTTTTTGGAGATGTGGTCTATTTTTGGACTCCCTATCCTCCTGATGCATTCGTACAGTGTCACACTGCATTGATTATTGTGGTTTTATTGTAAGCATTAATAGTAAGTCATTTTAATCCTGTGGTTTTATTACTCTTTTCCAAAGTTATTTTGGAAATTCTAGGTCCTTTAAGGCATTACCATACAAATATAGGAATCAACTTGTTAGTCTACGTGTTCTTTTTAATTTTATTTATTTATTTATTGGATTATCTGATACTATATTTCGGGGACCGGCCTCGACACGAGTGTTTGGTTCACAAGGTAGGGATATCTGGAGGCGATAGGGATAGCAAAAGAGGAGACACAAAGACACAAAGAGAGAGACAAAAAGACACCCCAAAACCAGAGTGGATGCATTACTGGCTTCCGGAAGATCCAGTGTGGTGAACATATTAGCCATGAGGGCAGTAAGATCCCGCATAGCAAACATCTTAGCTATGCAGGCAATAAGTTCCCTTTGCTAGCTGGTCATCCATGCATGCCTAGTCAGCTGTACAACACGCCCTTCAAGCTGTAATGCACCCCTGGGTCGGTCCGTGCCCCTGTTTTATTTAGGGGAGGAGCTTTATACCAAGCTGGGAGGGACTAAGACAAGGTACAGCTACATACGTAATTTTCCAGACATTCAGGCAACTTTACATCGTAATTAGCAGGTTCGAAT